GGTTTGGTGGTCACAGGCTGGCAGCACCCCCGGGCAGGGCTCCTGTTCCTCTCCACCCTGTCCCACACCCGGCTCCCCTGGCAGGTGTGTACACCCTGGGCAAGGAGGCGCTGCTGGTGGACCTGGCCGTGGAGTTCAGCACCTGGGTGGTGGTGAGTCCCTGGCGCCTGGAGCAGATGCGGCTGCTGGAGCTGCCGGATGTGTTCACCGCCGAGGAGGGGGCCGGGTGGATCCGCGCCGTGGATGTCGCCGAGATCCGCTGGGATACCCTGGTCACCTGGAACACGCTGCACCCCACCATTGCCATCCTCCCCACGGGCAGGCCTGTGAAAGTCACCCACCCCAAGATCCACCCCATCCCATACTCGGATCACTCGTCCTTTTCGGAGCTGCGCGAGTTTGTGAAGTGGCTGAAACCTTGCTCGATCATTCCCATTGTGAAGGGCAGCATGTGCCAGGTTTACTTTCAGGAATACCTGAGCTCTGCCCCCCAGGTAATTCCTGACTTCCAAGTCCCAAAGCCTTTGCCAGAGTCTGTGCAGCAGCAAAGCCAAAGGAAGGGGCAGGACCCCACGTGTCTCTGGAAAAGAGCTGCACGGCATTCTGCACCCCAAGGGGTTGTTTTTGAGTCCCCAGAGAAATACACTGAGAAACCTGAAGCATTTACAAGTGCTGAGATTCCTCAACAGCACCACTGTGAGCCAGCTTCCTGCTCAAAGGAAGGTTGCACTTGTCACAGGGATGAGGAAAAAGGGAAGGAAAAGCTGAGTGGGGAAGAGCTGGGAGCAGCAGGAGCAGCCACTGCTGTTAGCCAGGCACCTGTTTCCAAGGAGCACTTTACAGCTGGATTTGCAGAGCGGTATTTACTCACTCCCTTAAATGTCTTAAAGCAGAATTCCTCATGGACGTTTGACAAGCTGGTACAAGACTTTTTTAGGAGGGGAGAAGTGCCCTGAAAACTTGTGTGACACTTGCTGGTGCCAGTAGCAGTGATTCATCCTGCTCTCCGTGCTCAGGTTTCCTATCAGGAGAGAGGAGCTCAGCTATGGGGCTCTACTTTCTTTAACTCTTAATAGAGGACAAGAGGAAACCAGAACAAGTTTTTAGACGTTACAATTTTAAAATTTATTTATTTTTTTAATCTTTCTGCATCTGCTGAGTCTCCAGTGCAGGGGGCAGTGCAGTCCCACTGCCTGTGTGCCTCGTGTCCACCTTTTGCAGTGACTCACCTGTCCCCTGTGACAAAAGACACTGCCAGGTCGATTCAGGCAGCACTGCAGAGGGTGTGAGCTGACTTCAGCTGATGTTATTAATGTTTGGAATGTGATGAAAGAAGCAAGGAGGGGGAATCTGAGAGCCCCAAGGACTCTTCTTTCTGCATGTCTGTGATGCTTCACTGACTGTGAATGGTTCATTCCAAGGTGCATTTCGAATGTTTTGTATTAAGATACACTTTTGTAAAATGCTGCTTAAATCTAGAAAATGAAGTGCCTCTAAGTTTTAATGAGCTGTTTTCTATCTGTTAATCTACTAATACTTCCAGCTGTTGCATCTAGCCAGCCAACTGCAGCTGGCTGTAGTTCTGCTCTCCTGAAAGCACCATCCCAATGTTTATTGTCAGTGCTTTTTGAGGTTTCTGGCTGAGAAAAACAGGAATTGTCTGGGCTCCTGAGCTGTAGAGTGGGTCACTATATCCTCTGCAGTTTCTGGACTCTGCACATCTGAATTCTGCTTGACTGCAGAGCACTTCTGATAACTGCCAGCATTCTGCCTTCCCATCCACTGCCTGCTCTTGTCACACAGTGGCAAATGGAATGGAAGATGGTGAAACATCTGCTTAGTGGTGTGAAGTGATCAGTCTTAGCAGCATTGTTTGGAAAGAAGACTAAACAGCAAAATTGGCTCTTAGAGGTCAGGCACTTTCCCACTCCAGATCAACTGCAGAGCCAGGCCTGGCACTTGGGAAGTGTCAGTGGTGTATAAGTCATTAGGTACCCACTGCAGAGCCTGGAGCACTGGAGTTGTCTGTGACAAACTGCGCTGCCAGCATTGCAAATTGGCTCCTTGTATGGTCAGGGCAGCAACACTGGTGTAGAAATGGTCACTGGGCACTTTCCTGGAGCAACACACCAGCTGGTTCCTCAGCTCTCTCCAGCCTCCTTTTGTTACTTTCAAGGCAAAACGTTTCACGTGATCGTGAGGAGGATCAGAGCCTTCTGAACGTGGTGTCCTGGGAGGTCTGTCCAAGATCAGGCAGCCAGATGGATTGAATTCCCTGAACTGAGCCAGAAAAGGAAGCCTTTGCCCTTGGAGCCAAGCCAGGGCTTGTGAAAAGCAAAGGTGGCTGTAGATGCAGCAGTCACACCTGTCACAAACAGGGCTGGCAGGAGCAGTGAGGGTGTTGACAGCCAGAGTGGATATGTTTGGAAATTTGTTTGGCAAACACGAATCCTGGCTCCCAACCCTGCGCTTTCCCAGGCACGGCAGCCTTTATCCCTGTTACATAAGGAGTGCCTGTCCCTGGGCCTGCTGTGGCTCTGCCTTCCCTTCCCAAGGGAAGTGACACAGCACTGTCCTACTCCTTCACAGGGGCAGCAAGGGCAGCTCGAGCTTCCTGCTGTGGCCTGTGTGTCCTGCTTCTCTTGGAGGTTTCTGTATGGATTATTTGCTAATCCAAACTCAGCTGCAGAGCTCTGTCAGGTGAGTGTGAGTGGAGACACCTGCACCTTTTGTAACGTGGAGATGACAGTGCTGTGCTTGTAGTGTGCTGTCTGCTGCTGCTGCCTGGGAGATGCAGGCTGTTATTTAAATGTTGTTGAAATTTAAATGACTCATTTGCCAGGCAGGGGAGTGAAGCGCTGCCTGTGCTCCCAGATTTCAGGTCCTGCTCCTTGCAGCCTCTCCAGTGCTCAGGAGGAATGCTCACCTTCTGAGTCACTGCTCCATGAGGGCATGTTGCAAATGACCTGGGAGATCTGATGCATTTCACTGCTGATGCTTTGTGGCATCCAGCCTTTCCTCTTTTATTCTTATCAACTATTTATTCAAGTAAATGAAGGGGAGGACCTCCTGGTCAGCCCCCGGGCAAAAAGGAGTTGTAAATGGTAATTCTTCACAGAGGTAACTCT